TAAGTTTAATCGTTTTAACGAGAAACCGCGAACGGCTCATTACAATGGCCATGATTTACTTGATCTTGATTATCTAAATGGATAACTGTGGAAAAGCTAGAGCTAATACATGCACCAAAGCTTTGTCCTCTCGGAAAAGCGCATTTATTAGAACAAAACCACGCGGCTTCGGCTGCTTCTTGTTGACTCAGAATAACTAAGCTGACCGCATGGCCTTGTGCCGGCGGCGTGTCTTTCAAGCGTCCACTTTATCAACTTGACGGGAGCATAATCGACTCCCGTGGTGGTGACGGATAACGGAGGATCAGGGTTCGACTCCGGAGAAGGGGCCTGAGAAATGGCCACTACGTCTAAGGATGGCAGCAGGCGCGCAAATTACCCACTCTCGGCTCGAGGAGGTAGTGACGAGAAATAACGAGACTGTTCTCTTTGAGGCCGGTCATCGGAATGGGTACAATTTAAACCCTTTAACGAGTATCAAGCAGAGGGCAAGTCTGGTGCCAGCAGCCGCGGTAATTCCAGCTCTGCTAATACATAGAATTATTGCTGCGGTTAAAAAGCTCGTAGTTGGATTCGTATCGGTACCTTGGAACCCTTCGGGTGTTTCTGGGTGTTATCGATTTATCGTAATGTTCGGTTTTGAGTCCTTAACAGGATTTTTAACAGTCATTGCAAGTTTACTTTGAACAAATCAGAGTGCTTCAAACAGGCGTTTTCGCTTGAATGATCGTGCATGGAATAATAGAAAACGATTTCGGTTCAGTTTTATTGGTTTTACGGACTGAGATAATGGTTAACAGAGACAAACGGGGGCATTTGTATGGCCCCGTGAGAGGTGAAATTCTTGGACCGTGGCCAGACAAACTACAGCGAAAGCATTTGCCAAGAATGTCTTCATTAATCAAGAACGAAAGTCAGAGGTTCGAAGGCGATCAGATACCGCCCTAGTTCTGACCGTAATCGATGCCAACTAGCGATCCGCTGATGGAAATTATATTGCCTTGGTGGGGAGCTTCCCGGAAACGAAAGTCTTCCGGTTCCGGGGGAAGTATGGTTGCAAAGCTGAAACTTAAAGGAATTGACGGAAGGGCACCACCAGGAGTGGAGCCTGCGGCTTAATTTGACTCAACACGGGGAAACTCACCCGGCCCGGACACTGTGAGGATTGACAGATTGATAGCTTTTTCATGATTCAGTGGATGGTGGTGCATGGCCGTTCTTAGTTCGTGGAGTGATTTGTCTGGTTTATTCCGATAACGAGCGAGACTCTAACCTACTAAATAGTTGGTACATACTCTTTGTGTATACAGCTTCTTAGAGGGATTTGCGGCGTTCAGCCGAAAGAAATTGAGCAATAACAGGTCTGTGATGCCCTTAGATGTCCGGGGCTGCACGCGCGCTACACTGGCAAAATCAACGTGCTTGTCCTACCCTGAAAGGGGCGGGTAAACCATTGAAAATTTGCCGTGATTGGGATCGGAAATTGCAATTATTTTCCGTGAACGAGGAATTCCAAGTAAGTGCGAGTCATCAGCTCGCGTTGATTACGTCCCTGCCCTTTGTACACACCGCCCGTCGCTGCCCGGGACTGAGCCATTTCGAGAAATTTGGGGACCGTTGATTTAATTTATCTAAATTATTTTGATGGAAACCAATTTAATCGCAGTGGCTTGAACCGGGCAAAAGTCGTAACAAGGTAGCTGTAGGTAAACCTGCTGCTGGATCATTACTTTATGTGATGTTCAATTTTGAATCGCAATGAAATAATTGTTGTGTAACGGCTGTCGCTGGTGTCTAGGTGTTGCTGATACAGTTGTGAACGTCCGTGGCTGTATATGTGGTGACATGTTAGGACTATAATGAGTTTAAGACTTAATGAGCCTCTTAAGTGAGGACGCCAGCACTCTTTTTTTATATTTTAAAAAAAAACAAAATTCCTAGCCTTTCCGGTGGATCACTAGGCTCGTGGATCGATGAAGAACGCAGCAAACTGCGATAAGTTTTGCGAACTGCAGCAGCCTTGAGCATAAAAGTTTTGAACGCATATTGCCGCATAGGGGTCAAACCCTTTGCTATGTCTGGTTCAGGGTCATTATCTTTCAAAGCGAAAGCTTTATTGTATAATTGCTTTTGTGGCTTCTTTATGTTTTAAATTGATTGTTAGATATGTTTAATTGTTCGCATGTATCATCAACAATATTGATTTGTTGACCTGAACTCAGTCGAGAGCACCCGCTGAACTTAAGCATATCAGTAAGCGGAGGAAAAGAAACTAAACAGGATTCCCCTAGTAACGGCGAGTGAATAGGGAAATGTCCATCGCTAAATCATTTTGCCTAAGGCATTATGAGGTGTAGCGTATAAGCCGTAATTTTTAATCTTTTGTCTCAAATAAGTCCCCTTGACAGGGGTTCCACAGAAGGTGCAAGTCCTGTACATTGAGATAATTGATCGATATTTACGTGCTTTAGAGTCGGGTTGTTTGGGATCGCAGCCCAAAGTCGGTGGTAAACTTCATCTAAGACTCAATATTGCCACGAGACCGATAGCAAACAAGTACTGTGAAGGAAAGTTGCAAAGCACTTTGAAGAGAGAGTTAAAGAGGACGTGAAACCGGAGAGGTGGAAACGGATAGAGTCGGCGTATCTTTCAAGTATTCATTTACATTATTTTTATGTTGTGATCTCTGAGCTCCAGATTGGGACAGAAAGAAGCATCATAATTTTCTGTGATGCATTTGCTTGTTTGGTGCTTGGGGATGTTTGAGGCAGATTTGTAACCGCCGTTTTGAGGCCAGCTTGCTGGTACCCAAACAGCGTTAGCATCTTTTGTCTTGGACATTTGAGTATGGTTTACGGGCATTTATTGGTTCGATCTGATTGTAAGTTACGGTCGCATGCGACACGTGCTTTTCATTTAGATCGGTCCAGTTAATGCTCTCGTACTCGCTCCCCATGTAAAAGCCGGTCATCTATCCGACCCGTCTTGAAACACGGACCAAGGAGTTTATCGTGTGCGCAAGTTTTTGGGTGTTAAAAACCTAAAAGCGAAATGAAAGTAAATGGCTCTTTAGAGTCTGACGTGCGATCTTGTAAAAAAGGGCAGCATGGCCCCATTCTAACTGTTTACAGTAGGGTGGAGGAAGAGCGTACGCGGTGAGACCCGAAAGATGGTGAACTATTCCTGAGCAGGACGAAGCCAGAGGAAACTCTGGTGGAAGTCCGAAGCGGTTCTGACGTGCAAATCGATCGTCTGACTTGGGTATAGGGGCGAAAGACTAATCGAACCATCTAGTAGCTGGTTCCCTCTGAAGTTTCCCCCAGGATAGCTGGAGCTCATTAGTAGTTATACTCGGTAAAGCGAATGATTAGAGGACTTGGGAACGAAATGTTCTTAACCTATTCTCAAACTCTAAATGGGTATGATGTCAAAGTTGCTTGATTTTGAACTTTGGCGTTGAATACGAGTTCCAAGTGGGCCATTTTTGGT